ATATATATATATATATATATATATTGATAGACAGATATATAGATATATATAGATATACAGATATATATATATATATATATATGTATAGATATGTAGATATATAGATATTGATATAGAGATACAGATATATGGATATATAGAAATAGATATATGTAGCTGTAGACATACAGATATTATATATATATATGTATATATATATATATATATATATATGCAGAGAGAGAGATAGAGAGAGACAAGAGACAGAGCAGCATTTGTTTGTTATTGTGAATGAAGAGACAGCGCGACTGTAATTTTTTAAAGTAAATGTTGCGGTGAGGACAGGCGAATAGACAGACGCAAGAGCTCTATAGTTTATTTATTTACTTAGTTTATTTATTTATTTAGTTTATTTATTTAGTTTATTTATTTATTTATTTATATGTCTTTCTTTGCTGCTGTAGAGAGGAGACAAGAATCTCTTTGGGTTGTCTCTTCAATAAAAACAAAAAATATATATTTATTATCTTCAAGGAGACAGACAAGCGTTACCTCTTTATTATTATTATATATATATGTTTATATTAATCTATATATATATATATTTATTTATATATTTATTTATTTATTTATTTATTTATTTTAGAGAGACAGAAAGGCCTTTGATGCTGCTTAAATAAAATAAAAAATAAATACGGTGTCTCCTCTTTGATGCCGATGGAGACAGAGACACCTAATTGCTTTTACTCATTTGTTTGTTTGTTTATTTAGCAGAGAGAGAGAGAGAGAGACAAAGCAGCATTTATTTATTTATTTAGAGTTAGTAGAGACAGAGACATTTATTTGTTTATTTAATTTTGTTGTCTCTCTCTGTCGTCTGTCTCTTCTCTGACTGTCTTCTTCCATCCCTATTTATTGCTGTCTCTGTTTTTTTATTTGTCTCTCTCTTTGTCTCTGTCTCTACTTATTTGTCTCTCTCTGTCTCGCTGTCTGTTTATTTATTTGTCTCTGTCTCTCTCTCTGTCTCCGTTTATTTATTTGTCTCTGTCTGTCTCTCTCTGTCTCTGTCTCTCTCCGTGTGTCGCTCTGCCTCTGTCTCTCTCTGTCTCTGTCTCTGTCTCTCCGTCTCTGTCTCTGTCTCTCTCTGTCTCTCTCTCTCTGTCTGTCTCTCTCTGTCTCTGTCTCTCTCTCTCTCTCTCTCTGTCTGTCTCCGTCGCTCTCTCTCTTTCTGTCTCTGTCTCTGTCTGTCTCTCTCTCTCTGTCTCTCTCTGTCTCTCTGTCTCTGTCTCTGTCTGTCTCTGTCTCTGTCTCTATCTTTATCTCTGTCTCCCTTTGTTTCTTTTTCTGTTTTTGTTTGTCGTTGTTTGTCTGGGGGTTTTGCGGTGTCTTCACAACTCAAAAAGTTTTCTATCAGTTAACACACAAACAAACAATATCCTAATATATGCATATACTATATATATGTATAGATACATATATATATATATATATATATATATATAT